TATACAACTCTCATCATATTTATGATACTAGGATTATTTATTTATATTTTCATCTTTTGTATCTACTTCTACATATTGAGCTCTGAGGATACTGGAAACTATCTTTGTACAGAGAATATGTACAACTTCATAGGATGACTGACATATCATAGACATAAAATACATAGCAAACTCATGCAAGGTCTGCAGTGCAGCCCTCACTGGGCCTATTGTGCCTCTTGTTACAATCTAGGGGCAAAGGAAGAAATGGCAGCCCTTACATTTGCTATGGATTAGGAGACTACACTCATTTCCCAGCCCTGGTCTACCAAGGGAAGCTTTGGGACATCTGCCCTCGTGCACAGAGACAGAATGTTCTGGCTTGAATGAGCTCTAACAGGACCCTCACCTTTGCACATCCTCCTGTCTTCTCGCAGAACGTATCCAACAGGGCATTTGCATTCATAGGACCCATAGGTATTTACACACCGGAAGGCACAGAGTAGAGGGTTCTGGGCACATTCATTTATATCTGCAGTAAAAGAAAGTAAAATAGTTGATCAATGACACCAAAAATGACAGAAAGAGAGAAATGTACTTTTCTTAGAAGTTGGAAGTCTTCCTTTCCAGAAAGTTATAAAAATGTGTTGATTATTTTATTTTTGGCGCAAATATGGTGGCTATATGTCTGCATCTCTCAGCATTGCTCCCAAGCTTATTGTCCTGATGCAATTATGAATTTGCATGGATGAGAAACAAAAGGTCCACCTTGCATACTTGGAAGGCTCAGGTTGACCAGTTGCTTCTTCCTTTGTACATGGACTATGGATCACCTTTGCTTCCTTCAACTAAAGCAATTATGGTCAGAAGAGAAGCTGAGTCCTCTAATACTCTTAGCCACTTTGCCTTCCCCAAACAAAGGTTTCTATGGGACAGCAGGGATTCTTCTGCCCAAACAGAGTGTTCTGGTGATTATATACTTAGAGAAATGCAGTTTACACAGATGCCCAGGTTCTAGCCCTGATTAAAGAATGGCTTTACCTTTACTGGGCAAAATTACTCTTCTAGAATTCATGGTATAGAAATATCAGGATGCATTTTCTAAAAGTAAGAGGGTGAAAACAAACCACCCCAATAATCATGTTTCTTCCCAAGAACAATGATGTGGATGGAGAAGAGGACTGAATATCCAGGTCACAGTTTATTCACAACTTCTAAAGGCTCACACCTCTCTGGGGAAGGGCTCCCTTCAGCACCAATGTTCCCCTCCATTCTTCTCTTACCCCAGTGACCCTCACCTTGAAGAGCACATGGGTCTTCTGGGCAGCTGCTGGGCCCTACTTTTAGAGTTTGTGATTCACTGATCTAGAATGAGGCCAGAAAGTTTGCATTCCTCACAATTTCCCGGGGGAGGGGAGCGTGCTAAGGCAAGTTGTCTAGGGACCAACCACTCTTTGGCATTCTCTAGCCTTTCCTTCTTTTCCATACTCCCTTCTAGGCAGTCATACTGACAAATAATTTTCAGATGCTTCAGTGGGTTTGGCAACCTCTCCCTGGGATTGCCTCCAGACGACCACAGGACATCAGTGGTTATCTAGCTCTGTGTGCAGATGTTTCTAAAAAGAGAAAAGGACAACACAAAAGAAGAGGAAAAAAACCCTTGGAAACAACAACAACAAAGAGAGGAGATAGAAAATAAGACAGAAGGTGGTGAAATGTAAGCAACAGAGACACACTGGGAAGCACCCTGTATAGACAGTATTTTTGTCAATAGCCAACTATTTTTTTTTTATACTTCCTGCAAAGATGAGGCCACACAGAGAAGAAATGATGCTAGGCTCAGATGTTCTTGATTCTTAATTAATTATGAAAGCTATTTGATTAAGAACTATAGTCAAGCAACGGTTCCCATGATCAGCATAGGCAACCAAGTCTTCTGTACTGGAGGTACTTGCCTTCACATGTCATCATTGGACCGGGCTCAAATCCCTCCTCACAGGTACACTCAAAACCTCCGATCACATTCTTGCAGGTCCCATTTCCACAAGGATTGCCCACGGAACATTCATCAGTATCTGCAAGTGATCCAAGTGGAGATAAAATGAGTGGAGACAAAATGGTCTCAGGTATCACTTTTCATTCTGTCCTCGTTCCTGGATCTGCATCATCTTGCTTAGTTCTCCCGTTCTTGCCAGGAGGGAGTGCACATGCCTTCTGATCACAGGTTCATACCTGGAGTTGCCCTTGTTCAATGGCAGAGACAATAAGAGAGCTGAATGTCTAGCCCTTATATTTCCCAATGTGGTTTTCTGCAGCCTGGCCTTATGAAGAAGTGCATCTTTCACTGGGAGTAGATGCTCTGATGACTAGAATAAAGTTCCTACATGCAGCCAGGGGTTTCTGCTGTTTTGAAGACAAAAATCTCCAACTGTCCCCATATTACATCACTGCACAAGAAGGCTTACATACAATGGAGTCTCGCCAGATATAAAATAGAAGACTAAACTTACGCAAAATAAGAGACCTAAGGTTAAATAGAATTAATATACTGGATAAAAACCAACATTCAAGTAGATTTTGTTGAATCTGTTAAAACCAGATGTTTTACATTAGACAGAAAAAAAGGCTAGGGAAAAAAAAAAGAAAATATGTTTAGGCCATGACCTTTCTAAACAACTGTGGAGAGAGAACACATTTTACAAAAAAAAAAAAATCTCTAAAAAATACAGATGTCTTCTATCCCATCCACCTGGAACATCCACTGTTCTTATTCCTGACTCGGGCCTTAGGGAGAACATTTTCCCTTGGGAAAGGAAGAGACATATTTTTAGAAACAGCACTGCTATTTTAGATATCTGAAAACCAGGAAAATAGTGAGCTCTTGGTAAGGGTTACTTCTAGGCAAGGAGGCTCTTTTTGCACATACACAGCAGCAAACTGAAGATTCCAAAAAGGTAACACTGATAAAATTTGTTTCTGTTTTGCTACTAAACCACACTTTAGGGCCAAGAATACTGTGTCTCCTTTGATTTCATAAAGAACGACAGTGTCATTGCAGTTTAGAGCTGCCAGTATAATGTGAAGCAAATGACTTCATTTGCACAATGACACAGTCAAGGGTGGGAGAGGGTGGCTACGACACTCAGGTTCCCGCCCTCAGCCTGCACGGCAGTCTTCAGACCTCCACTCCTTATGTGAAGACAGTATGTTTTAATTTGCACAGACAGACATTCAGTGTTGACATCACACTTAATCTATATTACGGCAACATCGCTTTAGAGTCCTTGTCTATAACACTTGAATCTAGCTTACAGTCAATGTAGTTAAGAGTCAATGGTCCATATAGGAGCCATACTTGGACATTTTAATGAAAAGTCTGAAACAAGAAACTGAATGGGGTGGGTGGTCTTTCATACTGCCAAATATGCAAGATGCATTTAAAATTTGTATTTCTACATATTAGAAGTATAAATTATGGCCACTGACAGTGCATTTTTTATTGTCCTAAGACTTCTGTTTACTGTTGTCCTTTTCAGTATCTCTTAGGACATGTCTATTATCTGCTGTCCAAGTTAGACTACAAGGGCCATGCAAGGAAGGACTGTCCTTGCTTGGTTCACTGCGGTAGCTCTCTGCCTAGCACAGGGTAGGGTCCAGCTAACCATCTAATTGAAGAATTCCTCAACGGAGGAACAAAACTAGACTTCCACCTTGGTAGAGTAAAAGCCAAGTAGCTCAATTCTTACATAGTATAATTCCAAAGGAAGAGGATGAGCCACTACTCACCCACACATTCATTCCCTTCTAGAATGTAACCGAAGGGACACTCGCAGCGATAGGAACCATCTGTGTTGATACACTGTCCATGTTTACAGACATCAGGCTCTTTGCATTCATCCATATCTTAAGGGGAGGAAGAAAAAAAAACAGTGAAAAACGAGGTATTTTTCTTAAACTATTATTGTCAGTTCGGTTTGTTCACTCGGTGAATATCTAATATCACAATACAGCTATCGTCCAAGAGGTGTTAACAACAACTAGAAGAGATTACTCCTCCCAGGTAGATGTGGAGAAATAAGACCTGGAGGCAGGACAAAGAAGAGGCAGGGAGGACCTAGCGTGGAGCACTCACCAACTGCTGAGTCATCAGGGCCCACGATGATCCCACTTCCGAAGGGGCAGATCTGGCGGAAAGCCTCTGTGGTGGAGACATGCACTCATTAGTGGGCAGACCAGGGCCAATCACTGGCTTCCTACCCCCCATCCATTGTGTAGTTTGGCCACATGCTGCACACACTGAGAGATTGAATAGGACACCCAGAAACAAGGAGATATTACCAAGACTCCAAATGATGTGCCTATTCTTCATCTGACTGATTTGCAACATAATTAAAAAAAAGAAAATAACTACCAGGCTCCTTTGATAAAAATATGTCTAACAGACATTCTGATTACACTTGGAATTTGATGATCCTATTGCCTTAAAGGCTTACACTGTTATTCATTTCATGGTCCTATGTACATGGGATCACGCAATGAGAAACAAGGGTGTTTGACTCACCATCTGGCTCAGTGGGGCACAACTCACAAGGGTCTCCCCAGCCTTCTCCCTTCAAAGCACAGCAGCACTCCTGCTTGGAATGGTTTCTGGATTTGGGTGATGAACACTTTCCACCTTCAAACTTCGCATAACAGTAGCTCATTCGCAGATCTGCAATGCACATCCACAGCACACTTCAGTTGCTTTCCTACTGAACCTCCATTGTATGACAGCGGGTCAACGCACGCTCTCATTAACCATAGCTGTATTCCATAAGTGGCTGGAATTACGAAAGAGCCAAGACTGTTAATGTCACAGGGAACCAACAGTGGGATAGGATGGACAAATTTATGTTGCTTTATCCTTATTCCTCGGTTTACCCACTACTTCAAAGTAAACTGATATGAATACTACAACCACGTCAGTCTTAACAGTAATGACGACTTCAGGACGGGAACATCCCCAGATAGAATGACTCATGAAGAAGTCCCTGCACGATGGCTTTTCTGGTATGGATTTTATACAACTTTCAGCAAGCAGACTAAGGCAGGAGAGCCTCCTAGTCCTAAGACATATCGTCATTCCGTATCCAATACACCCCAGAGCCAAAGAAAACCCCACACCACAGCACAGAACAAACGAAGAAGTGCTAAGTGTGTGGACTGGCCAACTGTGCCACCAGCGAGCATTCGCTGAAGTAGCTACCCATGGAATTATGAAAACGAAACTCAAGTGGGACTTTTCTGCAGACTTTACACTCATGCGCACAGCTCCATCAAAATTAAATTTCCAGTCGGAACGTGTTTAATGCCCTAGAAAGAAGAAAAAGGAAGGCAGGAGGCAGGGTTATGGGTGGGTGCAGGCAGAGTCACCTTCCTTTCAAAGAATATGTGCATTGCTTTATATTCATTACTGCTCTGGCAACACCAGGGAAGAGGAGGGCTCTTTCTTATGAAATGCTCCAATGTCGCATGACATAACTCTGGAAGCTGACTTCTCCAGTGCTTACAGAACAGACTGAGTAGCTCTGAGCAGTGAGCTCATCTAGGGGTCTGGAATGTGTCTTCTTCTTCAAACTTGACTTCCAGAGCCTTGCACAGCTCCTCCTTCAGTACACGGTGGCTAAAATCTGCAGGTCTGAGGACAGGCTCCTGCACCCGTTTGTACCATTCCTTTTTTCTTTAGTTTTGACCACCTCTGACTTCTGCATTCTCTCCCATCAGTTTTTCATCCCAGAAAGCATCCTCTCATAGCAGTGCTGGCCACCAAGTATTTCCTTTGTGGAGGAATGTCAAGATTCAACTAGTGCTCGTTTCTTGGGGACACCCTTTTCATGTGCTTTATTCTTGCAGTTCTTTGTCATGGCCATTGTTCCGCATAAACAATGTTGTTTTTACCACGTCTTCCTACAACTGTCCTTGGACTGCTGGCCTTACTCTAAACCCAGTTTCATCTCCTCCACCACTCTCCTCTGCACCAAAAGAAAATAAATATCCTGGATTCAGATGGAGACTCAAATGCATGAAGTCCCAGGTCCATCAAAATGACAGATTCCTTCCCCTGAATCTTGCAGGTAAGACTCTTACTTTTTAATGCGGTGTTGAGCACCAGAGTCTGCTCCCTGAGTACAGTGACATTTGGTGCGGCAAAACCCCCAATCAGTTGTTCTGTGGAACTCTCTCACTTTAGGGCTAATAGAAGCCTGATTCCTTACAAGAAAAAATTGTCACCTTACAAGAAAAATCCCGGTTTCGAATTTTCAGGTTCCAGCAGAACCTGCACTGAGCAGGGGACTTGCTTTCTTTCCATCATGTTGATCCTCTAGGTGAGCTTATCACTCAAAGGTGCCCTCCATGGAGAAACAGCTCTGTGCTCGCAGGAACACTCCAGCCAGCGCTCACTGGGATGCCGGTTACCCGTCCATCTGCAAACAAGCCTTTTCTGACCTCTGAGATTTCTTTGGAATTATGAAAGTCCCCGCTTGCATTCCTCAGTTCTGGCCGAGTATGTGGCAGGGTTCTCGCAGCTGGCCTGGTTCTGCCTGCGATGTTAGCTTGCCCTGTGACAGGCCAGTGCAAATTGAATTAATAGCCCTGGAGTTTCCCCTGGCTTGCCACATCAGCAGACTCGCACCTGGCTTCTCACTGCTTTCTTTCCAAGTGCAGGCCAAGCCAAAGACACAAACGAGGGGGCAGGAGTCAGGCTGGATCTGGACTGGCCTGTAGCAGACAGGCAGTTTACCTATTGAATACAGCTGTACCCCAACCACCATTCTGAAGTCTTACGGTCTTCTGATAGTGCACTACGAGATCAAATTGACCGGGGAATTTGCGACTTTCCCCTTCATACTTCTGCAATGATCAACTGAAAAAGTAAAACCATAACCAGACAGAATAATAATAACAACAGCACTGGGGGTGGTGGCGCACGCCTTTAATCCCAGCACTCGGAGGCAGAGGCAGGCGGATCTCTGTGAGTTCAAGGCCAGCCTGGTCTACAGAGTGAGTTCCAGGATAGGCACTAAAACTACTTGGAGAAACCCCATCTCGAAAAACAAACATGCAAGCAAACAAAAAAATGACAAGTGTTCACAGGAGATGCAGAGACAATAAAACTTGGTGGTGCACACAGGAGGATTGCTTGGGTGGGTACTGGTATGTCTTGGGGGAGCAAACTGCATTTCTACACCATTAAATGGCTTCTCTGGGCTAAAACTTGGCAGGCCTAGAACCCCAAAGCCTTGTTTTAGAATTTCAAATTATATCCTAAACCTATTATTTGGTGACACGAAGCAAACCACACACACAAAACAAACAAACAAATAAAAGCACAAAGCAACATATGGACACTGACAGAAATTCTAAATGTAAATATTTATGGGCCTTCCCCACCCTATAATTCACTGAACTAGTTTGTATAAGTAGAGCCAAATAACAATGGTATTGTTTAGGAATGTCTAAACAAGTTTCTGGGTTTTAACCAAACATTGTTTTGTGTTTACTTTCAGAGTCCTTTAAAGTTTTTTTTTTCCTTTTATTTTAAAGCTAATCTGGCAAGCCCTTGAATATTTTTGCCACTGACAAGTGTTATTCTGTTTCCCCAGAGAATCTGTGAGGTAAAGATGGGCATCTTTCTCTGGGGACAGGTTATCAGTTTGCATATTCTCTGTCTGAGGGTCTCGGTTTGCACCCACGTTCATGTAGACTGCAGCTTTCTCTCGCTGATCTCCAGGTTTTGGGGTGTCGGTGACTCTTGAGGACACCCTGCCAAGAAGCCTGTGAGCATCTGTGCTCGGAGGAGGGAGAGGGCTGCAAGTGCCAGGGAAGTTGTATAAGCGACTGAAACTTGATGGATGAGTTTTTAACCTCAAAAGTAAAAATGAACCTTTGGGCATATGGAAACCATTAGACCTGTGGGTGAATGAAACATCTTCCCGTTCACGAAGAGTCAGAGCTTTGCCATGTTTAAAACATAAGACCACAACAAATAAACACAGAATAATGAAAGTCCGAAGCTTTCCGAGGCATTTACCTTGGCACCTTCTTCCAGTTGAGGAGAGGGAGAACCCTTCTGGACACAGACATTTGAAGCTTCCCTCGGTGTTGCTACAGGTTCCCAAGGCACAGATTTCGGGTTCTTCAACACACTCATCGATATCTAAAAGAGTTATACATGTCAGAGTCAGAACGTCATGGAGACCCCATTACTCACCAAATTGAAAACGTACATGTTCAGTGTTTGGGTGGTTTCAGAACCCTTCCAACAGGGACGCGATTGCCTGTGATACTATTTTAAAGTGGATTTTTAGAAGGTACTTTGGACAGATCTTGATGTAAAATAGAATCTGTAATAACCTTCTAAGAGTTGTAATAACCAACCCCTTAATTGTGGAGGTGCAGAGCCAGTCACAGAAATGACAAATCCCTTACTCATGGAGGTGTGCACAACCAATCAGAGATGTTGCACCAACTCCACACCACATTAACCTGGGAGAGAGGTCAGAACTCCAACACCCTGCCTCATCATTGGACAGCACAAGTCCATGGCTGATCTCAGTGTAAGCTGATTTCCCTCCACTCACTGATGGAGTCTTCCCCAACACTCCAAGCTGCAGCTTCCCCAACACCCCAAGCTGCAGCCTTAAAAACATTAATAGCCATATAAATAAGCACAATCCCATCCAAGATGACTCTGATCTGCAAGATAGTTTTTCTGAAGATGTGAAAATCCCTTTCTTGTATAGACCAGGGCTATTCCTTCATCACAGAGCTACTAGAAAGGGAGACATATGAATTAAGGGCTCTTTTCTTCAGCACTAAGTACATCCTATCACTGTAAGGGGTAACCCACTGAGAATTCAGAGTGGCTTGGGCAACCAATGTGTCCTAAGAGTTTTCCCAAGAGACTCCTAGCCTGTGTACGTTGGCCTGACTGTGTAATTACATATCCCCTTTCTCTTTCAAAGTTATCTCGGTTTAGTGAGTAAGTTACATGATCGTTCTACTTTTGGGAAAAGCATAACCACTCTACTGTAACAAACCCACCCATTTCCTGTGATTTTCAGCCAGAATTCATAGTGAAGGAAGGGACTAGTCTTAAATGTGGGCTGTACTGTCTTAGTTAAAATTTTTTCCAAATATATTAAACATCTCTTGGGTCATGGAACTCTTGTGCTTCAGATCTGTGCAGTTCTGCTTACACCAAGATGTATTTACATGACTTTGTTCTCAAAAGGCCCACCTGAGGGCAAGTCCAGAAACTAACTCCCTTACCTTGCCCTACTATTGTAACTACCATCCATGAGATTTTTCTAGAAATAAGCAATCCAAACGATTATTTTCTTGCACAATGCAAAACCAGCCTCCTCATCACTCCATGTTGTAGTGTATATTTTTAAATGTCGTTTTTTTTTTTTGGTTTATTAATGAGTTTAAACTTTTCTTCATTGAATCACTTCATCCTTAAACTCCTTCTGCCACTCCCTCTACCCTTTCCTTTAAAAAAGGCACCTTTTGGAAAAATGCTCAAATATTTCCTTTTGTAGGTTATTTTTATTGTTATCATGAATCTTTTGTTATTACATATATATTTGCATATGTATATACATATAGTGTACATGCATGTATATATGTGTGTGTGGGGGGTCCATACAGACATGTGTGTACATATGTATATGTTGAGGCCAGGTTGATATTGAATGACTTCCTAGATCATTCTGCATTTTATTTACTGAGATAGGCTCTCTCAGTTGAACTTACAGCATGCTGGTGTGTCTAGTCTACTGGCCAGCTTGTTCCAGGCATCCCCTGTCTCTATCTCCCAAGTGCTGGGATTACAGGATGGTCACCACACTCACCTGGCATTGATGTGGTACTAGATTCAAACTCAGGTCCACACGCTTGTGCCGAGACACCTCCCAACCCTATTTCTTTTTCTTATATTAAAAATTAGCCAGTAGGTACCATGTTCTTAATAATAGGTTCAGATGTTGTAGAATGGGCATATATACTGATCATCTGGGGAGTTCTTTTCATTTTTCTCTAGCTCTATTCTAGTTATTTTGGGGAACTTATGCATGATTATGAAGTAAATTAAATCTGTCATGAAGAAAGGCAGAACAAGTACATGTGAGATAGCACAGAGGGTAAACGTCCTTGCCATCATGACTTGAGTGTGGACCTGAAGCCCCACATGCAGAAGGAGAGCACTGACTCCCAGGTGTTGTAGTCTGACACCCACTACACACACATACACAAGCACATGCACACACTCATGCACACCTACACACAGAAATAGATAAAATTAAGTGGTTTTTTTCTTTAAAAAAAAAAAAGTGGCTAGAGAGGCAAGTTAGCAGTTAAGAGCACTGGCTGCTCTTCTAAGAGGAAGCCTGGTTTGATTTCCAGCATCCACATGGTGGTTCAAAACCATCTCCAATTCCAAGAGACCTGGTGCTCTCTTCTGCCTTTTATGGCACCAGGCATGTTCGTGTGCACAGACATGCATGCTGGCAAAACACCCATTATATAAAATAAACACTTTTCAAAAAAAAATTTCAACAACTCTTTTAGACTTCATTTTGATAAAATGTTTTTGCTTAAAATATCACCACTGAAAGGTGGTATAAATTGGATTTGTAATAAAATTTCTCACTGACAGTATTAAAAGTAGAGAAAACCAACCCATTGTAATCACTGGCAGACCTGTTTAAAGGTAGGGCTGTGAACTATGTGACTTCTTGAGAATCCATACAACCTTATTTATTTATGAAGTTCCTGTAATGACTATCCTTCACTTAATGAGAAGGAATCTGTGCTGAGAGCAGAGAAATGGAATGTCCTGTAAAATCTGCTGAGAATCTATTCCCTAAACACATTCTACATCTACAACTGGAGAAATCACAGACAAACTATACAACCGCTTAAACCCAACCTAAGGAGCCTAAGTGGATGTGGGAGCTGTTTTCAGTTGTCAACTATGGCCACTTAAAATCATCAAATTCAGGAACACCATCAATGGGAAAGAGCCAGGGTCACCAAAGCAGCCTGTGCATGGAGAAAACTCACACCCACAGTGATCAGGACAAGAACTAGCTGCTCCTGTCTCAACAGAGGATGAGGTCATAAGTCATAGCCTCTGACTTAGATTTTAAAAAATAAATATAAAAGTATTCCAAACTGAAACGGCCATTGCAGAAATTTGTGACGTCAGCGATTCTAGTGCAATGCCCCAATCCTCCTCATTTATGATCAGCAGTCCCTTACCTTCACATTTGTCCTGCTGTAGACTATACCCAGGCGGGCAAATGCATCGGTAGGAGCCATCCAAGTTCTGACAGGTTCCAGGCGCACATTTCCCAGGATCCAGAGCACATTCATTGATATCTGCAGACAAAACAAAGCCGGAGAGAGGCTTCTGCTGGTATGATTTCCATCAAACAGCACAAACTCGTCAAAGGAACCGGAGTCAAACCAGAGAAAGCACACAGCTCCTGAAGAGCCACAAAAGTCTCCCAAGGAGAAAGCAATTGCTTTAAAAGCTTTCCAAAGTGTGCGATACAGCCAATGTCATTCTATCTGCCACAAACTAAGTATTCCAAGAAAAATGTAGTGTGTGAAAGGGGTTTTAAAAGATACTTAGAAGATTCTGTGAACTTACCTCTGGAGAGGTATTCTGAGCTAAATATAATGAATCACAGCTATTATGTGTAACAATCAACAGTTAAAATGTTTTCCGTGACTATAATCTAATTTTAAAACAAGAGGGGAAATGATATATGTATGTATTTTTTTAAATTAAAAAAATAAAGTCTTGACAGGTAAGATTACTGTAATCTTACAGTGATTTTTTTTTTTTCTCTAGCTGCCCATAGCAGGATTAGAACAGACACTGCCTGATTCTGTGTTGGGCCTCTGGGGACATTTTCTCAGGGACTATTTTCCTGCCTTTTTTTTTTTTTTTAATTTGAGGATTTCACAAGTACAATGTATTTGCATACTTTTCACCTTCCCAGGCTCCCTCCAACTCCTCTCCATGTTCTCCCAACAATGCTCCCTTATTCATAATTCTTTGTTTATTTTTCTGTTTTACACACACACACACACACACACACACACACGCACACGCACACGCACGCGCACACGCACGCGCGCGCGCACGCACGCACATGCACACGCACACCACACACCACACCACACATCCATGCCATTTAGTATTTTCCTTATTTGCACGTGACAGCTGACCCCTCGGGACTGGCCTGCCCCTCTTGCCCTCTCAGGATCTTGCGGAGCCCTGCACTCACCCACACAGGTCCGGCCATCGGGAGCCACCTCGTAGCCCTCATTGCACCTGCACTGGAAGGACCCCACCGTGTTGACGCACTGGCCATTTCTGCAAAGGTTCCCATTTCCAGTTGCACATTCATCAACATCTAAAAAAAAAAAAAAACTTCATTAAGTTCCAAAGAAAATGTCAAAATCCCAGCCCTCATTCTAAACTTTGGTGGCCTCTGTGGACTTAGCCAAACATAAGAAATTACAATGAAGGTTTGGTTTCAGCCGCAGACCCAGCTGCAGGAACCCATCCAAATATGATGAAAAGATTGCATTATCATATTAAAGCTGGTAATTTGCATGATAATTTTGTAGCAGTTTTGCCTAGATCTTGTATATTTTTTGCCTTTTTGCATTTTTTAATTTAAAAAATGTAATTAGTATCCACAGAATTGGGTTTCAACGTGAAATTTTCAAACAGAATTTGTTTTTGTGGATTTTCTACCCCACCAGGGCTCCCCCTAGGCTCCTTTCACCCCCAGACCGTTGGCTTTCATTCCTGATGTGTACTCTGCCTTCCTCATGCTTCCTCAGCCCCTCTGTCCCCCTATTTCTGGTCTCTTTGTTTTAGATTTTATTTTTAAAAGGTAAAACTGATTTACTAGACACATAATTCAGACGAAGCCATACTTTAGTATTGCAATTAGAAGTATTTATAATTAGCCTCTAACTCTAGACAGTATTTGAGTTGCTGTTGTTCCTTAGCATCCCGTCTTTAAATTATTTAGTCTAAACAGTGGGTTTCATTATGCTGGTTTCATGCATATTATCCTTGCACCTTGCTCTCATGCACATTCCTAGTCCCCTTCCCTGTCCTTCCTCCCTCCCACCGGCCCCTTCCTCACCCCAAACCTTCTCACTTCTGTTCATGTCTTATGCATATGTGTTTTCTATAGTGCGTGTACAGAGCTACATCTAGATTCTGCATCTGAGAGAAAATGCCTACCGTGTCTTATAAAGGGAATGTGGTACACTTAGTGCCTTGTTTGTTTGAAGAGAGGCTGCAGAGAAGCAACCAGGCAAGGAGATCCACACCCTTCCGCAACTGTGTGATTTAGAGACCTGCTTTTGCCTATTGTAGCCTAAAGCGTTTATCTTGAAATTTAACTTAAATCGAAGTAGCTACATAGCAGCTGATACACAGTTTAATAAAGGCAATAGGGTTACTAAACATGACTTTTAATTAACACGTTACATTTGACAGTCATGCGACCAACTGTTGAGTAGAAGCTTGCTTACACTGAAGAGCGGCCTGCACCCTGGTCATGATGCAGGCAGATGCACC